GAAATAATAGGGCCATATATGGAGGCTAGATTAGTGGTGTTTAGAGTTTAAGAAGGTAGCAGCAGTAAGAAAGAATACATAAATAAAGGCAACATGAATGAGTGTGTCATTCTGCAAATGTGGTTATGAGATGTATCTTGGCTATATCACACAGTACTCCAAGTGTGAGACTCAACTGTAGCTTTCTGAGAAGTTCCTACAAGGGAAGTAAGGAAAATATCACAAGTGTTATCTGCCTTGTTTCTTACAACTACATAAGAATCAATGTCTACCATGAAGTAACTGATTTCAAAAACAAAAACAAAACCCTAAACAAATCTGTAATTTTAGCAGTACTTTATATGCAATAAAATGTACTTCTTTATGTGGGCAATATAAGTAAGTACTGATAAATATACACAGCTGTAAGATACCACTATGTTTAAGACAGAAAACAAATTTCATCCCTGAACAAAGTTCTCCCATTCCCCTTAATACTTTGTCTTTGCTATCGCAGATTGTAGAACTCTGCCTCCTATCATGAAAAGTAATCTGTCTTTCCTACAATCTTATTGTTCACTTTTCAATTGTATACTTAGCTCTCTACCCAGATTAGGAACATATTCTTTAGTAATAAGCCCCTAGTTTTCTTCTGTTTATCTTCTTGTTGTTTTTTTTTTAACTTGGAAGTTTTCAGATTAAAATTTTGGATTTCTGTCCCACATATTTGTTCTTTCTCAAATAATTCATTTTATTCTATCATGTATAATGATAAAAATTTTCACCCTTCCCATATAAATCACAAATTCAGTGTTCTGTGCTGATGCCCTTGTTTCTGTCACCAACTTAGATTCCTGTGCTGTCTTGTTCTGAATCCCCCCAGAAGATGACCTTAGGCCCTGCTTCCCACAATGCTCGCTTTGCATCTTTCCTCCAACCACTAAGTCACTTCCTGTACTGAAACCTTGCCTCAAAGCCACATTTCCTTCTTTTTATTTATGAAGGAAACTCTGTGCAGAGTTTTGTGTTTCTCCTTAAAGGAACCATGTAAAGCTGAAAAGAATTATATAATCGTAAAATGTAAAATGTATATGTCTGAAGTAAAACATATCCATGGAGAGTATACAATTCATAAACTTCCTTTATAGAAATATAATACTTAATAACTATGAAAGTAGTAACTATATTACATTTCTTCTTCTTCTTCTTCTTCTTCTTCTTCTTCTTCTTCTTCTTCTTCTTCTTCTCATCCTCCTCCTCCTCCTCCTCCTCTTCTTTCTTTCTTTCTTTCTTTCTTTCTTTTTTTTATACAAAACCAGTCTCTCAGATGAAAATGCCCGTGCGTTAGAGATGACTGTATGTTTTTGGGCCTTAAGTTATGTGGATTATCAATTTACTCTCTTAGAGAAGTTGTTTCTCTTTCAACTTTAAAGAGTTTTTGCTATTGTAAGCCATAATACAGATATCCAGCAATCTCTTCTACTTGTTAGACTCAGTTCCTGTGAAAGTTACTTAAAGTGATGACAGTGAACCACTTCAATGATACAAACAATAAGAACCAGTTGTGTCTTTTTAACATTTTAAGAATATTTTTAAGGAACAGTCAAAAAGCTGAAAATATGAGAATATTCTATTTTTTAAAATTTTGTCATTCTGAAAGTACTTGATGCTGTTTCTTCTTTACAAGAGTGAGTGTTAAGGATTGACTTCATAAAATAGGGACAATTTGGCGATAGCACATAATCTACAGAAACATCCATTACTTTTTAAAGGAAGTGCCTATTTCAGTCTTTTGCCTAATCTAATCTAATCTAATCTAATCTAATCTAATCTAATCTAATCTAATCTAATCTAATCTAATCTAATCTAATCTAATCTAACCCAATCTAATCCAAATCTAACCCTTTACTTCCAAGAGGTATAGCTGACCGTCTTCTTAAGGAAGAAGTTTGTGAAAGATAGAAAAGACCTTTCAGTTGAGAAGAACATATTGGCTACATTTTGTTTATCCTATGTTCTCTCACTCTTCCTCCCCCTTCTCCTCTTCCTCCCAGTCGCTCTACCCCACTCTCTCCCTATGCCTTTTACCCTCTCCCTTTTTCCTTTCCCCTCTCCCCTTTCCCCTTTCTCCCTGTGGAAGTACTCTGGTAGGTACAGAAAACTTCATGAAAACCCAGGGCAGTTGTGAACTATTTGACCCCCATGGAAATTACTAGTATCTAAAAGAGAATGATTTGGATGAAGACCTGATATTGTGGCCTCAGAATGTACACATGTGCTTCTAAAAAAGATCAATCTGGTCTATGGGAAAAGCAACTGAAAAAATATTAGTTGAATTAGATAAGGAGAATTCCAACAGGCTGACTTTTTTGTTTTTGAGAACAAGCATAGGCATTTTATAGTGTAAGGTAGTAGGGCTCTTGAGTGCAAGTATTTCACTCCAACTGCACACGGTAGTAATGAGTTAACCCCACGAACAGTGCAATAAAGAAAACACTAATTTGGTTTTTTTTCCTTTCTCACCACTTTCTGTTCCGTGTATTCATTTTATTTTATTTATATGTATTTATTTTTATTTTTAAATCAAATTGTAATTTTTACTTATTCACACAGGGGTTATAAACACAAAAACACAGGATGTGGGGAAGGGAATGACACCGGAGCGTGGGTGTTCCGGGGTGGGCTATAGATGTCTTTCAGAACAGGGTATCGGCTGGGTACAAGAATTGGTTTTCAACCTCTCCATAGTTGTCAACCCTACTTCTCCCATCTTGAGACCATTAATTGAGTTATTTTTGCTTATTTCTTTTGGTCCTGGGCCTTAAAGAGTCTGACTAACTTTGTGAAACAACATAGATAATTTGGTAGCAAAACCTATTCAGATACATTATCATAAGTTAGCTATGGAGGACCACGAGACTCAAGATGAGATTGTTACCCTATCCAGGGTTTTCTCAAAACCCATCTTCACCCAACCTAAAAGAGGGGACTTCTACCCCTAGACCAAGCAGAGAGGGGTCACCCAGAACCCCCTCTGACTGGCGATCTGAATTCTTGCTTAGGCTGCGAGGCTAAGCACTGCAAGGAAGTATAAATAAAAGTTAAAAATATCTCTCTGGGTTCCCTGAGTGACAAGCCTGACTGCATAGGGGTTGATGTCAAAAGTATCCCCTCTCCAAGAAAAAGACACTGGGATGGGTATTGCCCTCATGCCTCATTGGACAATGACAGGGGGACCAGAGCCATTACAAGGTCCCCTTCAATTACTGGAGGTCAGGCCTCTATCCCCGCCTTCACAAGATTAGAATCACCACAGCCCTTCTATACTTAGAGAAGGGAGGAGATGTCAGGGGCAGCCCTGCTTATACACTGAAGGCCTAAAATCAGCCATAGGCCTAAAATCAGCAATAGGCCTGTCATACATGAATGCTAACACCAAGTCTTGGGTCTCTGTGGAAAAACATTGAAACAGATGGCTATAAGCTAATGTAAACAGGCAGCTTTTGTTGAAATTTTCCAGCCTGAGTAGTCATAGACCTTGCAAATAGGTATCCTTGGTAGATAGTACCAACTTAGATAAGGACAATTGAATCATAGGCAGAGTCATAGTGACCTGTCCCCTGAACCTTCAGGCTGACTTTTTAAAAGAGAAATGTGTAGTCTGGGTGGATGATTCAGCAGTTAATTCAAGTAAGAGATGGGGAGTACAGATCTTTAGAATCTATGTAAACACTGGTTTGGCATGGTGGTCTACCTGTAACTCCAGCCTTTAAAGACAGAGTTGGGATACTCGGAACAAGATAGAAAGCAAGATAAGAAATATAGGCAAGTTTTTGGTTTGATTGGAGACCCTGCTTCAAAGAGTAAAGTAAAAGAATGACCAAGGAAGATTCCTGATATCAACCTTGGGATAGCACAAGCATGTATACAGACATATTCCCAGATACTTGCAAATAGGGATATATGCATGTGCACACTACATACATATAAACATGAAAAGAAGGAGAAAGAATAACTGATACAAGGATAGATTTTAAAAATCCACATGGCACTGAATGAAAATATGTATTGGTGATTTTAAACAGTAGAGTATAGGAAAGTCAAATTAATAGTATAAAAGACAGAAGATGAAGTGTGCATTATTCAAAACCTTTCTGTTGCTAGCTTTAGATGTAACCTAGGTACATGGTATAACAGAGTTATATCTCCATCTTGAGAAACAATTTTTTTAAAAATCTAGTCCATTTGAAAGGTAGAGAATGGTGCTTGTACACTAGAACCATGCTGTTTCAACAATAAAGTTGAAAGGAAACCTGTTCTCCTGCTAAATATGAGTATTTAATTATGTTTCTAGAGACTCTTCTAAGAGAACTAAATATATTATCTAATACATGGATAAAATACATATTGCTGATTTGCATATATGTTCACATGTGCAAAACCCATTGTGAACATAGTATAGAATGAATCTTTAAATCTGAATGTTGGTTTGACTATATACCTGTGTTCTTATACCTAGGAACCCACCAGATTGCTATATGAACAAGTGAACACTCAGTGGACTATAGCAGTGGTTCTCAACCTGTGGGTTACAACCCCCAAAGACTATTGGAAAACACAGATGTTTACATAGCAATTCATAACAATAACAAAATTACAGTTATGAAATGAGAATTCATAAATGGTAGTAACAAAAATAATTTTGTTTTGGAGGGTCAGCACAACATGAGGAACTGTATTGAAGGATCACAGAGTTAGGAAGGTTGAGAACCACTGTGTTATGGTAATGTGGTGCTTGTAATATAGCCAATGGATAGGATGTAGTTTTCCTTTTGATCTGTAGAAATTTGCTCATTGAAAGACTGGCTTGCGTGATTTACTTGTAAATCACATACAAGCTCTTTTAGTAACTTGAACATATAATGAACAAATGGGATATAAAAAAATGAAATATATTAATAGTGTCAAATTAACCTACAATTTAATGGCTTAAAACAAAATATATCCATTATCTTTCACAGTTCTATGAGTCCCAAATTCAGAATCAACTTCACCAGGTAACTTGATCTTGCTATTTCTTTTGAGTTTGATGTTAGGGGTGGGCCTGCTCTATAGTGGTCTGGAAGTTCAGTGAGGGCTTCAGGATCTTCTTCTAAAATGGCAGCAGACACCATGATCAGTTTTCAGTCTTCTCTGATACCCCTCTCTATAGGGAATGATGACTGTCTTCCCTGGAGCGTACAACTCAATTGTCAAAGCTGAAGCTGTAATACCTTTAATGATCTGATTGCAGAGGCTGCACCATGACTTCTGCTATACTCCATTGATCACACAGGCCAGTCCTATTAATTATCAGAAGAGTTAACACAAGAACATAGGTAGTATGAAACAAGTGTTCCTGGCTATACTCTTAAGAGACTGGCTCCACACAGGATATACTTAAATACTGCCACCATTTTCTCCCTGCATGATACAACATTGGGTTTTGGTGGTTATAATGGTGCTTTTTTTTGTATTATGTTTCCTATCTATGAGTAGGCATAAATAAATATATAATGTAGGAAAGAATAGCCTTGATCTAAAGATACAATTATCTTTCAAATAACTCCACCCCTCATCACCAGAAAACTCCCATTGAATGACCTCCTATCCAAAGAGAAAGTGCTCCACAAGTAAGCCATGAACAGAAATTCTTGCTTCCATTTCCTAAATATGTGTGTGTGTGTGTGTGTGTGTGTGTGTGTGTGTGTGTATAAAAGAGAAGGGGGAAAGAATGAGAGAGAGAGAGAGAGAGAGAGAGAGAGAGAGAGAGAGAGAGAGAGAGAGAGAAGAAGAAGAAGAAGAAGAAGAAGAAGAAGAAGAAGAAGAAGAACCAGACATCACTGAATGCTTCTTTATAAAACCGTAAAATCTCACTACAGAGACAAACAATATAAGTTGTTTTTCCAGGAGTGAGCTGTCCGGATAGTTTATCTATGTGAGACAGGGGACTGCTTGCCTGTGACACCTCACTTTAGAATGGATACTTTGTAATTTCAGCTAGCTTTTTTTTTTCTGACATGAAGAGAGCACAAGTTTGATTCAGTTAACCTCAATTGTAATCACATTGAGTTTCTTTCCCAAGACCTTTAAGAGTATGTTGGCCACTTTCGTAAATGTGATAGATGAAACATCTATCACAAAATTAAGTAAATCAGTGTAGTCAACTGAATGACTTGGTAGCTGCCTAGGTTTCCTTGTAGTATTCCAGACAAGGACTGCAATTAAAGAGGATGTCAGTGATCCCATGCTGCTCTGCAGGGTTCAGGCTCTTGGGATTGCTATATACATGTACCCCATGTTGTGAAGGTAGACATGTCTCCACAATGTATATAATGACTGCATATATCTTGACTCTGCATTCTCTGCATTAAAGAACATTTCTAGCATCTATCCTGCTGTGAACAAAGTCTTATTTATCAGATCTGAAGACAGGTGAAATCTGTTTTGAAGAAACCTAGAATCAGATTTTTGATTAAGATTTTTTTGTGTTCTAGTCTACTGCTCCATTCCTAACTGGCAGAGATGAGCACCCCTAAACTGAGGATTAAAACTAAGACATCATGTCTTCCATAATGGAATTTGCAAAGAAGTCAATAATCTTAGAACCACCTTTCATAGGACAGTATGGCAAGGCTATAACCTACCACACAAAACTTCATTTTGTCAGCCTCTTCAATGAAGTGAGTCCTTATGAGCAATGAGTAGTATTCTGTTCAGCTTTGCCCACTGTGTTCCTCATTTAATGGCTTGGCTCCATTTGGCTGCTAAAAGCAAGTCACTTCTCTGGCATAGGCAATGGAAGATAACTGGTGATGCAATAATAATCCATTGCTACTGGGAAATGTTTGACAGAAAAGTCCAGATGTTAACAGAGAGTTGAGTCCAAGACCAGACTTGAAAATAAGATTGGCCTTACAGAATTCTCCTCCAACCTTTCAACTTACATTTGCCATATTGATTTTGAACCCTTTAGTCAGTTCAGTATTCTTCCATCATGGGAATTTCATATTGACAATGACTTAACAAAGAACAGTTGCCTATTATGGTATTTTATGGGATTATGAAGAGATGTGCTATTTTTTTTAAAAGGCAATGCTACGAAGATATGCACCACTATCTTAAATTAAATGGTTAGAATAAAGAAAACATAATGTCACATTTTGGACTGTAGATTTTTAAGGAACAAGTCCATATGAGATCATATCTTTTTAATCTTCACCAAAGTATATTTTTACGGAGAAATGCAATCCTTTTACTAAGACATAATAAAAAGAAAGGATTTATAGCCAGAATCACCTAAATAAATAGGAATTCTTAAAGAGTTTGGTAAAAAATGGATTTGGACTTTTTTTAAAAAAAATTAAAGTCAGCTGTTTAACACTTGCAAAAGATTCAGGATATATTAATTACATTCAATAAGTGTTAACTTTTTTAAAACAGAAAAATTCAGACACAGAAAAAAAAAATCCTGAACAGTAAATGTTAGCATGTGAGAATCTCTCTTTGGCATATTCATGAGTGTTACTTAAAAGTCTGTCTGAGGCTCATTAGGCCATTTAAAATCACAGGTCTATCCATATGTAGACCAAATGTTTAAGAAAAGGTTGCATGCACACAAAAGAAGTTCAAGAAAAATAAAATGCCTCATAGCTTTGCCTTGAAAGTTTCAGGGTACATTCTATTGTCAAAACGTAATTATACTCTGCCTTCTACTCTTGAACTTTTAGAGAAAAAAAAATCCATATCATACACTGGTGTAATCCCAGTCTTCAGAAAGCTTTAAAGTAATTTGTAATTGAGAGCCACATAGTTTCCTTTTTAAATTTTCTGTTCCTTTTTTGATTGTGTGGCTATGTTTATGAAATCCAAGTCTGGCATGTATGGGCAGTGTAGCTATGGTCATTCTATATAACTAGCACTATTGATCTATTGGAGTGTTACAATGGATCAATAGAGTGTCTGTGTAAGACAATATTAAGTAATGAGATGAAGCTCCATGTCCAGTTTATTATCTTGTCTCCTTTACCATTTAAGTGATCCATGCTTACCATATAGGCACTTTCTCTAAATTGGAGCAAAAAGGAAAAATAGATGCAAACATATTTCTACTAGCAAAAGACAACAGTGGGATGATAACTTCAAAATATCCAGATGTTCTTCTAAATGAGCTTTAGATATTGAGAACCTGGAGGAGGTTCGTAATGTGAAATGAAGAGTTGACCTTGACTATTCCAGGAAGACTGACTCTACAGTCATTCACGAACATTGCAGTATCTCTTATAATAAACAGATTAGCATTTACAAATAACTTATACACATTTCTCTCAATACTTTAAATCTCCCAGATTACTTATATACATAATATTGTGTAAATGGTAATTGTTCCAAATGAATGATAACAAGAAAGACATTTATATGTTTGATTCAATATAATTTTTCATCTAAGTATTTCTCATTTGTGATTGTTGGCTGGTTGAAAGCAGGATGCTGATGGTGGCACCAAGGATCCAGGGGTGTAGTCATATCTTTTTGTTCCTGTTTTCTAGAGTCAGTTCCTGGAACTGACTACCGAACTACTGGAGTGAAAAGAGTGTACTTTGTGTGCTTATGTGTCTGGTTGCCTCTAGAAAACTTCAGAATGTGGCCTGGTAAGCAGAAATACCAAAGCACAAAGTACAGCTAGAGAGAAGAGACATTCAACCCTATCTCTCCAAATTCTGAGGAAAGAAGAGATACCAAATATTCAGCTAATCACCAATGGCCAATAATTCAGTAAAACTTATGTAGTGAGATTCCCTAATAACTTAAAGGAGCTGGGTTCCTTTGAGTGTTTGAATTACTGAACAGATAGGACACATGGAGCCTGATGTGCCCAGGAGGACAGGGAAGTTTTGCCTCCTTACTCACACCTTGTCTATATCTTTCCCATAAGGTTATTCACTTATATTTACTGTACTTTCTTTTAACTGTAAACTCTAAATATCAGAACTCACCATGGTGACTAATTTATAACTAGTTAGCCAAAGGACAGGTACCAAACTGCAGCTTATGACTGTCATTTAAATTGGGTGTCGTCGTGGGGATTGGGTCTTTAACCTGTGGGATCTGGTACTGTTTTCAGATAGCTAGTATCAGAACCAAATAAAGGGAAACATGTGGCAAGACATCTATTTGATTTTTCTTGGATATTTAGTGTTTGGAGCAAGGTCCCTGTCTTTGTTAGGGGTTTCTATTGCTGTGAAGAGACACCTTGATCACAGAAACTCTATAAATGAAAATATTTAATTTGGGCTGGTTTTCATGGTTTCATGGTTTTCATGGACAGTTTTCATGGTTTAGTCCGTTATTGTAATGGTGGGAAGCATGGACGCATGCAGGCAGACATGATGCTGGAGAGATAGCTGAAGAGTTCTACATTTTGATCTAAAGGGAGCAGAAATGAAAGTGATACTAGGCCTCCCTTGAGCATCTGGGACTTCATAGCCTGCTCTTACATTGGCCGACTTCCTCCAACAAGGCCACATCTACTCGGACAAGGCCCCACCCACTCAGACAAGGCTACATTTCCTAATAGTGCCACATTCCCTATGGGCCAAGCTTTCAAACACATTTGCTTATGGTGGTCATTTCTATGCACACAACCACAGTCTGAAAAACATCTGGTTTCAGAAATATTAGATTGATTTTTGTATGACAGCACAGAAATGCTTAATTTCTTATCTCTGTAGATTACTTAGAAAACTAGAGCAGAAGCCAATTTTTTAACTCTTTTTAAGAGGATAGATGAAAGTTACGTTTGCCTTTCCCTACCTTGAAAATAATTTTATTCCTTATTTTTCATGAATGTGACTCTGAACTCTCTTTGTCTTGTTTCATTTTAGTCTTTTGGTGTCATGAGAAGGAAAGGATTTATGTGAACTTTGGAGGGGTAACGTGTACTATGAACACAGAAAAGGGGCAATTCTATCTCTATTCTTCCAGTAAGTTGACCCTATATCATGTTACTCTGTGAGAT